GTGAGTGCATAAATACTATACCATAGAAGTGATACTTAAACTATTTATTGTGCAGGCCATGGCATGCTGCGGTGGTTGTATTCAGTCACGATGTGTTTTGTGTAAGTATCGGTTGGTGTCATTAGTTCCCAGATAGGTGACCACCTGAGTTTTTAGTGATAAATTATCGTCACATATGTATACGAATTCCAACCAATAGTACCTTCCTCACAATAACAGACCTACAAACAAACAGTTAATGGCCATAGTTGCCAGAYTTACAATCAATAAAATAATAACCTTTATATTGAATGGCATCCAATACTATTACAGTACATTTTATGAATTGTTAACCCATCCGATTTACTATTAATAAAGTCAACAAMAGCTATTCGGTGACAAAGTTTATCTGTATTAGGACAATTTAAAATATAACAGATATTCAATTCATTTTTATTTTAGTAAATAGTATGAAATATCTATCTTAAGACACTAATATTAGTAGGTACTTATGTAGTTATATAGTTTAGTCTGATTGAAGGAGAATCATCCAAGCATTTTGTAAGAATTTCCCTGCGAAATKACAATACTCATGGATTTGTTTTATTTATTTATTTTTTTCATTTGAAAATAGAAATGTATACATACACGTAAATTAATACGAATGTTTATACTTAATATTATTATAATATGGCATGCATTATACATAAATAATTGTCTCCATAAGCTAGGCTTGTTGTGAAGACAAGGTTCTTAAAAATATCTCTTACATTTACTAAAATAATTATTMTAATTAAATATAACACCGTATAAGTCAATCGTAGTTGATTTAGTGATTATAAGGTTATCATAAATATAAATTTTAAAATATTTTAGAATTCCAGAATAAATATAACAATTTGACTGGAATACAGATATAATAGAAATTATCTATGTTAGTAATTAAATTTTTTAATTTACCATTTTCTTATATAGTCTAAATTTTTTAAACAAACCAACGTCAATATTTAATTCCATTGCCATCTTAATTCCAGAATTCAAGGGGTTTCCTTTTCCAAATTCCGTTCTACACATAGGAATTAAATACATATTGGTTTGTTTCGCTCTTGTAGAATGGTTATGTTTAAATTTAAATTTTTGAATATCAAGGAAAAACATATTCGATAATATATGTCGTGCATATAATTKAGTTAAATTTAATWGATTACATTCTTTATATATGTAACAATACAGTGCTCATCCCATAGGGTTTTTTAAAAGATATTTTAATAAGAGAATCTATAGTGAATTTAGATGTATATTGTAGGCACCACCTCAACTCCCAATACCATATGAATAAATTGACTGAGCCATAGTTATGAAAACCATTCTCATTGTGGTGGGTAGATAGTATGTTGCTAAGAATTTTATAGAACAAAAGTCTGATCTTTCTAGTTGTATTAATAATATGATTTCGCCATTAAGATTAGCATCAACAGTAATACCTAAATATTTTACATTTTAAGTGACATAGCAATCCTCGTCCGAAACAAACTAGATAAGCTAAAACCAACAAAAAACAGATCACACTCATTTGGATCCCAGGGCATACCGGAATTATAGGCAATGAAACCGCGGATGAATACGCCAAAACTGCCTCAGACACGGACACAAACGCACTAGACCTTCTTCTACACGTTGACTTCAAAAACTCCACAAAAACCAGTGTTCACGCCACGCGGGGTCGTGTTGTTCCCCAGGTAATATTATCAAATATAGTTTCTTTTATTAAATATATGTATGTTATTTGTACGGGGCCGTTGGGGCCAAAATACGATTGCATAATAGCATGAGATTCGGAATACAGTCGGTCGGCACTCTGACTGTCGATCGTCGCGAAT